GAACTTACAAAATCTCTGGTATGTGCAAAACAAAATCTCTGGTACGTGCAGAAAACCAGGTACTCACAGAACTTACGAAATCTCTGGTATGTGCAAAGATTAGAGAGCAGAACAAGGGTGTAGCGGGTGGGGGGCGGGTACACATCTATCTTTGTGTCCTTTCAGTCTCAGTACTGTACTGCCCCCCTACGGTCATCTCTGGAGCCAAATTCCCAATACGCTTAAGGCTTCGTCTCATATGGCACGTCCCCCACCTACTGATCTTCCAGGTCTGTGAAGCGTCTAAACCGTTTTTCATTTCAGGGCTGTTTGTGCTGTTTCCTCATCAGAGAGGCCTTCCTGCCCTTTCTGTCAGTCCCATTCTCGTTTTTACATAGCGCTTTCATCAGTTTTATTTACATAGCGCTTTCATCAGTTTTATTTACATAGCGCTTTCATCAGTTTTATTTACATAGCGCTTTCATCAGTTTTATTTACATAGCGCTTTCATCAGTTTTATTTACATAGCGCTTTCATCAGTTTTATTTACATAGCGCTTTCATCAGTTTTATTTACATAGCGCTTTCATCAGTTTTATTTACATAGCGCTTTCATCAGTTTTATTTACATAGCGCTTTCATCAGTTTTATTTACATAGCGCTTTCATCAGTTTTTATTTATTATTTGTCTATTCAGCACTTTTTTTTTTCTGTTGGTCCTGTTTTACTTTTCTATTAGAATATAAGCAATGAGAGGGCAAGGCTGGGTCAGGCTTATTTGCTATTATATTTGCAGTACTTATCTTGTAGGCAGTTAATGAATGTAAATAAATTACCTTCAATGCTATGAATTATAATAGTTGCATTTGCTTCTTCACACAATCGTCCCACGATTAACATAAGCTTGTATGTGTGTTTAGGTTCTTTTCTTCATAGCATTTCCCGTAAGATGATTACCTGAGTCAATGTATTGCTTAGGGTTCACCAGAGAAACGTGTGTGTAGGAGGGTGGGACAGAGAGAGATTCTTCGAAGGAATTGGTTCACACGATTATGGAGACTGCAAGACCAGAATCTGTAGGATAGATCAGCAGGCTGGAGACCCAGGGAAGGGCCCACGTTGCACTTTGGAAGGTCGCCTGCTGGCAGCATTCCCTCGCGATGGCGGGAGGTCAGTTTTTGTTCTATTCAGGCCTTCAACTGATTGGATGAGGCCCACCCACATTACAGAAAGCAATCAGCTTTACTCAAAGTCCACTGACTGAAGTATTAATCATATTCCAGAACACCCTCACAGAAATGGAATATAGAATAATATGTGACTAGAATAGTGTTTGACCACGTATCTGGGTGCCATGGCCTAGGCAATGACCACATAAAATGAGCCAGCACAGACAATCTGAAACTTCAATACAGACGGACTTGTCCTGAGGTCAGGACACATCATCACCCAGGTGGGGTGAGGGGCTTGCCATGTTTCCACAAGACCTGTGATTCTAAGCAATCCTTAAGTCTCTGAGATTCAGATGCCTTGTATCTATAACAGGCAGATTAGTCTAAATCCAGAGATCTCACATTGTAGCCCCCAGACCAGATCCAGCCCCTCCTGCTTATGTGTGGCAAAACAGGCTGAGAATGGTTTTTATGGATGTACATTTGGGATTAATTTGGTTCTAGGGAAGTAACTTTGAACTTCCAATAAGCAAAATGTTATCTCCTCCTCAAAGAATTCCATTTTTTCTCTTTCGTGGGCCTGTATTATCAAAACAAACAAAAACTAAATGATTATAGTTTGAATTTTGTCAAGAAAAACGTTGTGGAAATTTATCTCTTCTTTTATTAGCATCTACATAACAGCTTTGATTTTGTCTCTTGGCTCATGAAGCCTAAAACATTTCCAATCTGATCCTTTATAGAAAAAGTGTGCCAACCTTTAGTCCAAACGCTTCATGTTTTCAAGTCGTGACGTTCTGTGTGCTTAGGTTCTCATGGAATGTAACACGTTATAGGGATCAGCCATTTGGTGAGTCTCTGGTAAACCTTTTATTGAAACAGCAGCATCTTGGAGGAAATGGGCTTTGAGCGATTTGGGGAGGTAGAGTGGTGGGGGTTGGGGAAAGACTCCGCTGCAGACAAAGGGTCCTGCATGTCTGCCCCGATCCTGCACCTTCGGGCCCTCTGAACAATGAAGACAAGCCAGGGAGACCCCAGCGATGCTCTCAACTGCAGCTCAGGACAGTCTCCACTCTGCCTCAGACTTGCCCGGCTACGTTCTGGCTTGTCTGGTGTTCAGCCACGGGCTCACCTGTCGCTTGCAGCGACACCCCTGTCTTTGGAGTTGGTGCTGGTCTTTGAATCATTTCTTTAGCTGTGACTCAGTGAAGCCTGACTGGATTCAGACCAGCATGAATAGTCCTACTGCCCCTAATTCTCCCTCGTAGCTGGGCCTGCTTCAAAGCCTCCAGCATTCAGCCCAGCAAACCACGATCCAGCCCAACACTCCTTCTGGACATGTGCGTCTCCAAGATGCCGCAGGCAGAGGAAGCCGAAAGGCTGAGTGAGCCTCCCATTTGAATGTCTGCTTTTTCTAGGGCAAGCTGTTCTTTTCCATACCTTGTTTATGAGATAGAGGAATGTGCCTGAATTCTACCGGGCACTGTGTTAGGGCTCCATGCAGATGGGCCAGGTTGCTTTCAGATTAATAGTTGCATTTCATACTCACAGAGCCATTTCACAGTTTGATACCAAGCACCCAGACAGACAATATTTGGAGTCAGTGAGTTTTTTGCATATGTCTTAGAAGATAAATTAGCGACAGTGTGAGAGATCAATTTGCACTGTGCTTTAGTTTTCCATTGTAGGCTTTTACTAACCTGATCCCATTACGGCTTTGAATTAGGAAATAATTACGGCTTTGAATTAGGAAATAAGCCTGAGGCACAAATAGCTGTGAAAGCTTTGTTTGGTTGAGTGTTTTAGAATTTGAATGCTTAACAAAAGTTTGCAAAATCCTGTGAAATTTCTTTACTTTTTCTTTTCTTTTCTTTTCTTTTTGCATTTCATTTACCTTGTCTTACTTGTTCTTTCTGTTCTCTTTAGTCTTATTTTCAAATGCAATTAAGACCACGTAGTTCTGTCATTGGCTGGAATTCCCAGGAACCAGTGACCCTACAATAGAGGTGCGTGTGCCCTTCCCAGGGGACCCAATGGGGGTCATGAGGCTCCCCTCTCCCCTTTCTCAACCAGCCCTGGAGTACGTTGGAAATAAAACAGCTAAGAATGCGGAGAAACTGCCGGCCTGAACCCAACCAGAGTGGAAAACATCCAAGGAAGGCTGGTGGCGCTGGGAAGTGAGCTGTCTCCTGGGGTTCTATAAAGCTGGAAGGACTGGAGCAGGAACCCAGCCCCACACATTCCAGCTCGTTTTGTCAACAGGAATGTGTTGCTGGAGGAAAGGCCTGAGGAGAATTTTGATTTTCTGCTACTCAAGTAGATTTGGAACATTGCCGTTCCTTTCCATTGTAAACAGTTTTTTCTTCCAGTGCTGATATTCGTTGAGATGGTTAACTCCTGTGTATTTAAAAAAGAAGGGGATAAATAAATTCAGATACTAAAAATATTACTTGCATTAATTTACATATATATTAATCAAAAATTCTGAAAGTGATTGTAACGCTTACTTCATGTATGGATTTAGCAATTTTTCTACGTGAATTGATCGGAAGCTGAGCTTAAATGACAGTCACTTCCTGAGCTTTGGTATCTCTTACTCCTTAGAGGACACTTGGTTTCTTGCCTTCAGTTCAGATTGATTCGTGCAAAGTTGAACTCTTTGTCTTCCCCATCAAGTGAGTCCCCACCCACTACTTTATTTTATTCAGTTATGCCATCGTTCTTTCAGTTACCTGGACTCAGAAACGGGAGCTGCTTGTGATTTCTTTCTGTGCTCTGTCTTCCATGTCTCTGCATTTCCAAATCATGTGACTGTATCCCTAGTGCCCCACTGGTGTTTCCACCTCCATGACCTCACCCTCCACCCTTATCCCACTGGTGTTTCTATCTCCATCCCCCCACCCTCCACCCCTATCCCACTGGTGTTTCTATCTCCATCCCCCCACCCTCCACCCTTATCCCACTGGTGTTTCCATCTCCATCCCCTCACCCTCCACCCTTATCCCACTGGTGTTTCCATCTCCATCCCCCCACCCTCCACCCCTATCCCACTGGTGTTTCTATCTCCATCCCCTCACCCTCCACCCTTATTCCACTGGTGTTTCTATCTCCATCCCCCCACCCTCCACCCTTATCCCACTGGTGTTTCCATCTCCATCCCCCCACCCTCCACCCTTATCCCACTGGTGTTTCCACCTCCATGACCTCACCCTCCACCCTTATCCCACTGGTGTTTCTATCTCCATCCCCTCACCCTCCACCCTTATTCCACTGGTGTTTCCATCTCCATCCCCCCACCCTCCACCCCTATCCCACTGGTGCTTCCATCTCCATCCCTCCACCCTCCACCCCTATCCCACTGGTGTTTCTATCTCCATCCCCCCACCCTCCACCCCTATCCCACTGGTGTTTCTATCTCCATCCCCTCACCCTCCACCCTTATTCCACTGGTGTTTCCATCTCCATCCCCCCACCCTCCACCCCTATCCCACTGGTGTTTCCATCTCCATCCCCCCACCCTCCACCCTTATCCCACTGGTGTTTCCATCTCCATCCCCCCACCCTCCACCCTTATCCCACTGGTGTTTCCATCTCCATCCCCTCACCCTCCACCCTTATTCCACTGGTGTTTCCATCTCCATCCCCCCACCCTCCACCCTTATTCCACTGGTGTTTCCATCTCCATCCCCTCACCCTCCACCCCTATCCCACTGGTGTTTCTATCTCCATCCCCCCACCCTCCACCCTTATTCCTCACTGATTTCTATCCTTCCATGACTGCACGCTTTGGTGTTGCTTTTGGTGTTTCTCTCACATATTTTAAACATTGATCAACAAGCTTTTCTACACATTACACATTATTCTTCTCATTTTATAGATTAATCAACTGAGACACAAAGGAATTGATGGGCTTGTCCAGTTCACACAGATAGTTACGGATTGAGGCCAAGACTGGTATCCAACACCTGCAGAGCAGCCTGCCTGGCCTGCTGTTGCCAGTAGTTTCTCCTCTTCCATGGGTCATGCAGACCTTTGGCTTCGTTCACTGCTCATAACCAGGAGCTATGGACAAAGGCATTTTATTACCTACAGGGATAAGTCTGTTTGTTCCCAGACCAAACTGGGAGTCGGGCTGCTTATTCTTGTGGCCCAATAATGAGATGCAGATAAACTGAGAAAGAAGAGAGCTTATTTCTGTAACCAGGTACAGGGAGAAGGCCTGGAAAATACTGCCAGACCAACCGAAAATTGCAAGGTTTACAGAGCTTCTATACCTTTTAAGCTATATGTCTGTGTGTGCATGTGCATTCATGTAAAGACATAAGTGATTAACTTACTGTAATCTATAAGGTCTGAGTTTTGAAGCCCTTCCTCTGGAGCCTCAGTGAATTGACTTAATCTAGATGAGTCCAGGTACCGGGGTGATTACATTTATCCTGTCTCCTGCTAAATCATGGAGGTTTGGGGAGTTCCTTTAGACCCCCAATAAAACATTTTTGTGGAGGTCTGGGGAGTTCCTTCAGTCCCCCAATAAAAAGGTGCTTGATTCTAAACAGGTCCTGTTAAGAATTCCTTCATTATCTTGTCGCGCTTCAAGGCCCAGGAAAGGCCTGGGCAAAACTCTTGGTGGGCTTTTGTTACATTCCAGCCTTTGTATAAGGACACTGGCTCTCTCAGCTTTTAGTGTGTGGCTTAACCACTCAGTCAGTGCTGAGACAGTTGTGACGGAGGCTGCCTGTTCAGCTGTTAGTGAGACCGGGCCTGCCACAAAAATCTCCTTGGTTGGCATAAACTAGCTTCTCCAATCTGTCTAATTGACTTACCTGGTCTTCTATCACTCTTTTCAGCCCCTGAAAAACTCTGCTCCAGGCAGATGAAACTCATTTTTGTCCTTCAGCTCTACCTGCACAAATCGCCTCCAGATCCTGCTCATAAAGTACCCTCTGCCTAAGATGCCTTTCTTCCTCCTGCTGGAGTCCTTATTTTCATGGAGACTTTCCTGTCTGCTCACACAGACTGTGTGCGTCTGTGTGACAAGTGTGGTCAATTTCGATTGATTTGTGCAGAACTGAACTTGTTTTCCTCCTCGAGTGGCTCCTTGGAAACCCGAAAAGACTACATTTCCCAGACTCCCTTATGGGTGATACTGGGAGCCTATGACCATGTTCTGACCAGTGCTGTGTAGGTGAATGTCAGCCACTTCCGGAGTTGACCATAAAACACGACTCTCTTCTTTCCTCCTGTGGGATCCAGGAACCCACGTGTTCCAGGTGGCAGGATTACGGCACGGAAGCAGCTCCTGTCCTGTCAGTAGGGCCACTGAAGGGACAATGACTTTGCATGAGAGAGATGTTTTATTTTAAGTCACTGAGATTTTGGGTTGTTGGTTATAGCGGCCAGCAAACATTGCTCTAATTTGACCTGGCTATCTGGTTTGTTATATCTCTCCATCTGGAGTTTAATGATTGGCATGCCACTTATTTTTTACCTTTCTCCCCTCCCTATTTCCTTTCTCATTTTCTCCTTTCTTTTCTTCATTCCCCATTTAATTTTCTGTTCTCTCGTTTGTTCCCCAGCTTTTTTGAGGTCCCTATTTAATCTTAATTCAGAAACCACCAGGTGGACAAATTCTACTAATCGCAAAAATGTAATAAAAAATTTAATAAAAAATGGTCTGAGCTTTCGAGGAAGTGACTGTTTAGTAAGAATTTTACAGTCTGGTAGTTGCTAATAATTTAAGCTTTTTGTTCCTCCATTACTCAGTTGTCTGGGCAAAACCAATGCTCAGAGACCAGTCACTGAATGCATATTGGGCTTTCCAGGTTCCTAAGGCTTCACTGGTCTTGCATGATGTTGCAGGAATGGTGAGTTGGGGCCAAAATTTACTTTCTGATCCAATAGCCCATATGTTCATTGGTTGGGTAATAAATATGATTAAGCTTCTACAGCCCTATAGGCTGCAGCACAGAGGAATTACAGGTAATCTTGATTCAGAGAGTGCATTCGGATGAGTGTTCCAGTTTATTTGCATGGCAAAGGGTTCTGCTAAGGCCACTGACTTTGTTCTCTGTGAACTCCCAATTCTCTGGGAAGCAGATAGTATAGATTACTCTGCTTTCATCAATTTCCAGTTGTATTCTTCCGAAGCACCATGAGATTTGTGTTTGGCCATTATTTCAGTTCGCATACTTTGGCCCTGGGGTGATTTTTCATCATTATAATGTCAGCCTCCATTTTCATGCCAGTCGTACCTGTTTTTGGTTTTTGACATCCCTCTCTTCCTTCGTCTGGCAGGCATTAAATCATTGTTTCAAAATCGCATACAGCTGAAACTTTGTAAAACAGCACCAGACGATCCAGTCCTCTCTTTTCTCTTGGCCTTCGCCGACCTCCAATTTTACTTCAAACGAGGATCCAGGGGCTTGTCTTCGATTGACAATTATTTTTCCTGATCTCAGATGTATGAAAACCTGTCTTTTGTCATGAAAACCTTGCTAGAATGTAGGTATTTCTCTCCATTACGAATGCAGGGAGCTTTTCGTCATGATTTGTATCTTTCAGATTAAATTACTGGGCAACATGGCCCTTCCTGAAGGCTGTTATCTCTACGGCAAAAATAGTTCCGACTTCACTCCTTCGCTTCGGCAGCCACGATACATCACTGCCTCTCTGGCTAATTAGCAGCTTCTTTCCTGGTCTTATTTTTCCACTATGGGGATGTTTGCAAAACTTTTTTTCATGTCGAGCTTCCATCTTACCTTAGCAAGCACTTCATCTAACTGCTGAAGTTTATTGTTCACCAGGGAGACACTGCTGAAAATCCCACAGGAATCCCAGAGTGACTGTCCCTGTACGATTTAGGAGACAGTCACGGAAAATGAGGAGAACATAAGCAGCTGACCATCATGACACACACACAACTCACATACACACTCGGTGGGAGACACAGCCGTGCCCTGGGATTAGCTCATTTAATTCTTGCTACAACTGCATGAGCTACAATCGGGTAAGAAATCTGGTTAAGAATTTAGAGATTAAATAACTTGCTAAAGGCCATAGAGCTAAAAAGCAGCAGAGATGGATTCAAACACAGACATGTCTGGCTTCGGTCACTGTAAGGGAGTAGCTGATTCTGTTCTAACACCAATGCTAACACCAACACAAATGCTCATTGAAACCATGGAAAAGTCATTAGACGTAACTAACAACAGGGGAAATGCAGATGTAATTTGTGATGTGCAACCACAGATTTCAGAAGTTATTCCTATTAATATCTTATTTGTCATGAGTATGAAACTTCTACGAATATAAGCACATTATTACATTGATTGTCACAGACAGCACAATGCAGAATTTAGTGGGGATGAATCTAATTCATCTATGAGGCCACACCATGCCTGTGACTGGTGGTGGGGGGTCAGGAGTCTGAACAAACTGTGTGCTAAAAATGGGGAGAGAGAGAAGGAGGGAGAGAGAGAAAGACAGAGAGGTGGCTACTTGTAACGTACAGAGTAGAGGGCTAACCTTCCCCTCACCCCTTAGGGTCCCTTAAGGGAAGGGGAAAGGGGAAGTGGGAATGTCTTCAAGAGCCCACCATGTAGGGAGTGGGAGGAGTGAAGGGCCAGGGCCAGGGCTTCCCCGCCCTGCCTGGGAAACCACAGTTGCCACGGGAGGAGCTTTTCCTTTACGGACACTTTGAGACTCTGCATTCACTTCTAATTCAGGGAAATAAATCCAGCTCCCTCATGACTTTCCCTCAGATTATCTGCCTTTCGTAACCCCTCGTGTCATGTTACATGTCACTTCTCTTCCTAATCTCCACGCTCCAGAACCCCCCAGGAAATGTCATTCGTGAATCCTCGGTTAATTAAGTCTTTGTTTTTATATCTTTCTTCTATTTCATAGGAATAGAACATAAGATAGTATAGATATGTAACACATATAAAATTATGCTCACACACATGCACACACGTTGTACTAAATATAAGACGCACTTTGACCTCTGCAATTGAAAAGCACTTTATGAGGTGGCAGAAGTTCTCAGCTGGGCTTTGCTGTGCCCATTCACACATCTGAGGTGACCCTATTTTTCGGACCGTGTCTCAGCCCTAGCACTGATGTATTTTTCCATGGATTTTTCATTGATATTTAAACACTATTTTACACTCCTTTTCTGCTTTAGTAAACGGATGATAATCCAAACTTTTCTTACTGCTTCAAGTCCACCATTACAACTTACTCTCCTGTACTTTCAATGTAGGTTTTTGGCTGATTCTACCATATTGTGTTCCCTTAAGTAAGTTCTGGATTAATTTTTTTTCATTTCCTTTTTTCTCATAAATGTACAATTAGAACGAGCAGCTGCACAGCTTCCTGGGCATCACACATCTCAGCTGTCAGAGTCACCACATTCTCCAAGAGTGACATCATCTTCTCAGCCACCTCCTTGTGCTTCGCCCCACCACGCTCCTGCTTTCGTTAGCATCTGGCACGTGTGGACCGCCCTCACAGCCTCCTCCCATTTCAGCGTTGCCGTCATCACAGTGCTGTGCTACTTGCCTTATTTTTCTCCTTGACTTCTCCCTTGGCTGATTTTTCTTCTCTCTGCATCATTTAAACACATTTTGTTCCCCCTATTTAATCCTATTCTGTCTCTTCCTCTACTTGATAAATTCTCCCTAAAAGGGACCCTCAGGACTTCTCTCTTGAGCCTATATATTCTCTGTGATCTTTGTGCTTTTATGTATGTGCACCTTTGAGAAAGAATTTCCTCTGAAGTCTAATCCGCAGCGGCTCCTTAAGCAGTGCGACCTCTTTCTTCACCTGGGGATGGAGTGCTCGTCCACAGTAAGCTACGGGGTCTGGCTATCCAGCAGCTGGCTTCATGCACGGGACTCTGAGGGGACTCTTTTTGTTCTTCCCATTATCTCACATGTTTACACAGTGCAGAGGGATTTTTCCTGGTCCACGGGTCTGAGAGGAGAATTCTAGTGCACTGCATCTAATCCTTTCATTTGTATCCAGTTTCACTTGGGCTGCTAATCCCACTTCCTAATTGATAT